TTCAAGTCATCTTAATACTTTAAAAAAATAATGTAAACAGTTAGTGGCAATTTAAAAGTTATTGGTATTCATGTTATGATACAAATAGAAAACTTCAGTTTACATTTTGTGTTCCTAAATCATTATGGAATTAAAGTAAACTTGAAAAAAGTTCTGCATTGATTTAAAATGAACTATTTATTCATGAGTTTAATGTAAAACTACAATAAAAGTTTAACTACAGCTAAATTTAACTAATGTTTACCCATCACAATGCTTTACCAATTTGTTATTAATTATGACTGTATCAATATTGACTGAATGTAACTCTATACATCAGAAAAGTTATATACACCTAACACATGAGTGTCAAGATGTTGTTTACAGAATAGTTAATAATCGTTATGGGTAAAAAGTGCAGAATAAAGGGTTAGAAAATTAAAGAATAAAAAAGGGTCATTAAGAAAAGAGAATAATAGGGTGTTAAAATATAGGGAATAAAGAATAATGGGCAAAACAGTTTAAGAATAGAGAAAATGGTATACAAAAAGAATAAAGAAATGACGGACCCCCATCAAGACTCATACATAATATTATTAATGTTTACATTGTGTAGACCTCTTGTTTGATATTATAGAAACTACATGTCTTTAGGCATTCAAATGCCATTTTAATGTGTGCATGGTGTAAATCAATCTGCAAAAAAAGTTACAATAAATACTGAAAGGTTTCAAACTAAAATTTTATACACACCAGATTGTAAATAAACAAAAACAAGATTTGTGTAAATTGTTTAAGTGATGCTTGTCAAAATGTGAACAAAATCTACACAACGAAACATAGACTTCAGATACAAATTTTTGTAGTTTATCAATATAACAAATGATCATTAATCTCATGACTATCAACATAAAAGTAGAATAAATTGATAACGAAAAAATTCAAAGTACACAAAAAAGGATGATTTAAAAGGATCGTATGATGACTATCAGATTTAAAACCATATTAAAATGAAAAATTGTTTATGATAATGACCATGATAATAAATAATAGTTCTAACATATTTAATATCTCATCTACCTGCCTAAGCAATTTTATTAAATGCAGGCAAACCATTATTATGATTGCATGCACAGTGCCATGTATGTATAAATTTTTAACTCCTTTTGTTTTGTAATATGTTAAACATAGGAATAAACACCTAGTAAGGAAATAATTTTGCATGTGCAATAACAGTAATCTGAAGATTCATGCTCGAAATACACTTAATAGATCTATTGGTCAAGCGTTTACCTCCAACATAAAATTCGAATAAAGACATGCATAAGAGGAATTAAGGAGGGGTGCTGGCATGGTGCTCGGACTTTTAACAAATTCCACTCCTTACTTATGGAATATCCGTTTCACAAATGATAGCGGATATGTTCCTAATGCCGTAACTACAATTCCGCCCCCTTTTCATAATGTGACCTACCGAATTAGCCTTATAACCGGGTTTGTACTAACATGAGCAACACAACGGGTGCCACATGTGGAGCAGGTTCTGCTTACCCTTCCGGAGCACCTGAGATCGCCCCCAGTATTTGTTGGAGTTCGTGTTGTTCAGTCTTTAGTTTTCTATGTTGTGTTTTGTGTACTATTGTTTGTCCGTTAGGTTTTTTTCTTTTTTAGCCATGGCGTTGTCAGTTTATTTTCGACTTATGAGTTTGAATGTCCCTTTGGGATCTTTCGCCTCTCTTTTACGTTGCATTGTTGATGGCCACCATGTCCCTTAAACAAAAAATCTCCGACCCGCATCTGCGCATGGCAGGTCAGTTTGCAAAATGTCTACATAAAGTTACTTAGTCAATGGTCAATGAAGATATGATTGTTTTATAAGCGAGTAAAATTGTTTTGAATTGCATAAATTATTCATAGAAAGTTTGTCAATACAGCTGCCCTAGTCATGTTGACAGCGAAACGTGTAATAAATTAGCCCACTTTTTAAGTATACAATGCAACTTTCTCTATATTCACACTCAATCGAGACGTAATCATCAATGAAATGAATATCGAAGAACATCGGCAGTAGAACGCTTAAATAATCCAAAACAAATTTACTTCATTATATAAGCAACATCCTTCGATATTAACGTATTTTGGAAATTCTATCATAACAAGGTGCCCGATCAGCTGTTCGTGACAAGCTCAAACTTGATGTCCACGAAACGTTCTAGCCAATCACGTGTCGCACAGTTTAGAAAATGACGTCAGATTTAGATTTCGATGCAATCATCGAAAATCAGTGCCTATTTTTTTTAAAGTGCATTTACCTGTCTGTGAAGTAAGCATTTAACTTCTGCTATCAACTATAAACAGTCACAAATAAATCCTCAAAATTACGTTATAAATACAAACATTATAATACTCAATACATTAACAATTAAAACATTAATTTTTACCATTATAAATTGTAACATTTTCGAGGTTTTAATCAAAAGTATTTGATAGGAAAGTACGGAGTTTAAATCACTACAGAAAGCTGAGCATTTGAATGCAACATATGTACTGCATTGCAATGTACAATGTGTTGAACATTGTTTCCTATACAATGTTTTTACTGTATTGAACATGTTGAACTTACACAACCCAATGCAATTATAGTAAGAAAAGAGGCCATATATCTAAAAGGAAAAACGAAAAACAAGAAATAGGTTACGAGAAAATAAACGTGAGTGCCAATGAGACAACTCTCCATCCAAGTCAAAATTTATAAAAGTTAACCATTATAGGTCACAGTACGGTCTTCAACACGGAGCCTTGGCTCACACCGAACAGTAAGCTATAAAGGGCCCCAAAAATTACTAGTGTAAAACCATTCAAACGGGAAAAACCAACGGTCTAATCTATATAAAAAACGAGAAACGAAAAACACTTATGAACCACATCAACAAACGACAACTACTGAACATCAGATTCCTGACTTAGGACAGGTGCAAACAAATGCAGCGGGTTTAATATACTCGTTAGGTTAATTTTGGACGGGACCATATGATTATTTTGACCATATTATTGTAATTTCAACAAATCATAGTACGTCACATCTGATTTAATACGAAAAAGGGTTTGAAAAAAAACTATTCCCTTGCAATTGACAAAATTGTAGGAAGTTCACCCTGCATTTCATTACAGACACAAATATCTGAGTCATAAACCTATATTCTGTTTGTTTCAATGCACCATTATTATCTTATTTGGTGTTTCTATAAAATATTTTGGAAATTTGAGATGACATGGTTACTAAAGCTTGTAAACCGGGAAATACGGGGTGAAAGTTTTATTGCTTAAATACCAGTGAGGGTTATTATCTTATATGCAATGAAATGTTATGTGAAATTTTGACTGTATTACTGGACAGGATGTTTATCCCACTTGTGTGCTTTTTCTTAATCAAGTAAGATATAACACAAGTATGTTTAGTAAATAAAATATAAAAAAAATATAGCTTGAAATGGAACATGATGCGACGATGATGCAATTAAAAACATGTTTTTTTGAATATGTCACTGAAATTTTTCAATTTTATAAGAATAAATAAGCAAAAGATAAACGTTCTATGTTTCTAAACCAGGAACACATAGATCGTTCTCCAAATTCATAACTGCTCACATTACAAATTGAAATCCTTTATTTGTGACATATTGAGTGACTTTGTGTCCTTCTGTTATCTTGCCTTCACTAGTCTTAATAGTGTCAATTAAAAGCGTCCCTTAGTAAAACAGTTGACCATTTGATTGAGATTTGATTTTGATGTTTCTTCAAAGTATCTTCTGAAGGCATTCGTCAGGACGAATCGATAAACTTCTAAGGTTATTGTGATAGGATATATTGCTCCAGAAGTAAATATTTTTTGAGACTGTGTCTCCCTGAGATTTAGTTTTTTGCTGTCCGAATAATTAATTTTATTCCAAAGGTACCTATTTACCTCAGTACATTCATTTGAATGTATTTTGCATAAGAAAAAGCATACAATAATAACAAGTTATGTTTTTTTTTCTGTTATTTTGCCTTCTACAGATGTGATCAAATTTAGAAAAATTATAATTATTAATGCTTAACTTTTATCACATGTTTTTTTCTTCAAGTCCTTTTAATCTGCTGCTTTGTGTATAAGCCACGTTGTTGTATATCCAATTAATTACTTTTCACTTTCTTTAATTAGGTCTTTCCACTTGCCAGTGGAAATCCCTTTTGGTTTTGTTCTGATTTTTTTTTTTCTTTTGCCAATTTTTGATTTTGAGATGTTTTTGTTTGTTTCGCAAGATATCGAAATGATTTTTTGGTATATGATATCGAACAATGAATACGCTTTCGCAGTTGACCCTGTGTAACCGTACACTTTCTCCTATGAGAGTTATCTCCCCGTAGACTGTGTTTCTGTTTATGTCTACTTCTTCAAAACTGTAAATGAAATCAAGAAATTTCATTTCCAAATTGGTCGTTATATCCTCATGATGTTTTGTTAAAGTTTGTCCGAAGCGATACGGAGACTGCCTATGAGAGTTGTTTCCCCTTCTGTATTTGACATAGTGCTATATAAATGTTACTCGTGAACTGCAAGTTATAGGGACCTAGAGTATACTGATTTGTTGTACTTGTCCAACAAACGAAATTTGAGGTCAAGGTCATGATCTAAATTTAAATTTTTGAATGTTTTCGCTTTTTTCACAAACCATCATTCATAACGACTGTAGAATTAATTGTAAATCGTATTTTTATTTTCATTATACAATGATTTACGATATTTGAAGAATTACCTATTGAAGCTTTAGTAATGACTTTTTTTATCCTTCAATAATCAAGTTAATGAAATGCAACGTTCATATGTTCTCAAATATAAGTACGACTGCACGATGTTTTAATCTTGTAAATAACACTGTTTGTGTTATATTGCATTTGAACCAGAAGACACATTTGACTTTATATAATAAATATCGATTTTGTTTTCATATATAAAGAAATATTCTGCATGTCATTTTTTTTTTATCACGATGAAGGCACACTGTCTGCTATTACCTTTGTTTCTTTTTGCAGCAATACTTGCAACAGGTATGTTAAAGTATATTTATAACACTGTATGTATATCTGCATTCCCTTGTTAAAAAAGAGTTTGTTTATGTTTTCCTTTCCTCGTCATTTTACTTTTTCAACCTTTTTTTTTTTATCTATGAAGAAATATTTAAACACGACATGATTTCATGTTAGCAATCATGTCGACTTTGTTTATGTAACTAAAAGCATTATTTAATTTTGTTTTTATTTTGTGTCCAATATCCGGAACATCTTAAAAATAGTGTATGTCGCCACATATTCATTTGCCTATCCAATCGAGAGAACAATTTCCTTGCATGAAAACTGCTTTCTGTGAAGTCAGTGTTATTCAATATTTAACTTTCTACGAAGAGTTTTGTAGACCAGTGTGTGTCTTTCCGTCGTATTTTTTGTATTGAACAAGGTATTATCATCCGTTTTCTGTTGTTTTTGCTTTCATATAATTCTATCTGATTACTTACTTACTTGCTATCTTCTCCTCTTTTTAATTAGGTTTTTGTCATTTAGAATATTTAATGTTAAAGGCACTTCATTTTAAGTTTGTGTTTATTCATTTACAACTTGTCTAAAAATCGATTCAGTGTTTAACATCATGTTACTAATTTATATTTGAAAACTGTTAGTTGATGGTTAAATCATTTTTTTATTTGTTTCGTAAAATTATTACTTTTAATTACTTTTTTACTTTGTATAACATCGGTTTCTGTCAACAAAAATAAAACAAGAACTAAGATATCTTAGTCATTTGTCTAGAAAATATCTTGCTGATGCTTTCGATTTAATAGAATATTGTAACTAAAAAAGCGATAATTCATAAAATCATGATTGTAAACGAAAGCTTAACAAAGAGAAATTAACCAAGATTGTTTTAACATTCTTAAATTTTTAACAAATTATTGACTTTATGATTCAATTTATAATGACCATAATGCTAGTTTTCGTAATGTTATTGTTCGGTAGTAAGAAAATTAAGTTCACATCCACTCAGTGTGATTTATGTCGCCTTTGTATTACCAGAAGTTTAAAGTTTGATCAATGTTGTTTTAAGTAATAGGAACTTATTAGTCAGATAATATCTTTAGAAATTATTGAAATAGTTCTTGTCCAAAACTGACCACTGTAAAATTCATATTTAGAAAATATCCCTTTTCTTTTTGAAATTTCAAGTGGCAATAAGACGTATGTTACTATATTCAAGAAGTTGAAAAAAATATCTACAATGGCAAACTAAAAAATATACAAATATTATGATTTTGTTTTTATTATAAGGTTCCTTAGTGATAGACTGGTATCAATAAACGAATCATATATTAAGAATACGTGTTCTTGGAGACCATACAGACGTCATAAAACAAAAAGAGTATATCGACTTTCAAACACAAACTATTTCTCCTTCAAATAAAAGGAGAATATACTATTTCGACTTACAAATAAAAACCGAATTACAGATAAAGTTTTAAAAAAATGATAATTGTAATGGTTGAATGACAAATTAATGTAACCATAAATCAGTTCACAGGAAATTCGACTTCCATATGATTTCTGACGAAGGCTCAAATTCGATGAATTCGTAGAAGTACATTAAATGGATTTTGTAAATTTCATATAAAGAGAGAAAACAATTACATTGTTTCTATAAGATAGCTATATAGTCTTTATCTAAACTATTCGTTTTCAGCATACATAATGCTTTCTATTCCAATAAAATACCTTTAAAAACGTGTTGAACGAAATGAATTTTCAAATCAATCAGGCAAAGCTAATATAGATGCATCAGACTCGGTATCGAACAAAAATGATTTGAATATAAATATGATATATGACTGGAACAAATAACATGACCTTTGATTTGATATTTTTGTTAGCAACCATGTTAGCGGTATACTACTGTTGCCTATATTCTCTCTTTATATCAATCAGAAACGTGTCATTCCCGTTTATTGGAATATCCGGAACATGTGCAATGCCCCAAACATGTCCATATGACGTCACTGTCACAATTATCGATTGTGCAGGACAACGAAACACGTCCCAATCATCTATATTTTTTTAATGCCCTAACGTTTCCACCTAAATTTATGAAAAGTGATTCCTTATCGTACGATACTAGGAATGCTATTGTTGCATGTCAAACTGTCTTTTTCAGCCACCGCTGGCGTTACATTAATTAATTCGTATCGTCAATCCTCAAAACGTGTTAGACCTATTGTGGTTCCTTGGAAGTCTCAAAGAATTGATCTTCACCGTTATTTTTTTAACTATACCGTGATTCGTCAAAATCAGCCGATTGTATAATAGTCGATTGAAGTAAATAAACGCATAATTATAGGTTTTATAACGAGTGAGAATTTGATATCGCTTGATATCAATTCGAGTTATTTAATTTCAATATGGTAATAAACGAGTCTTCGGCGAGTTTATTATTACTATTTAGATTATATCAAGTTGATATCAAGAGATATCCAATTCTCACGAGTTGTTAAACCTATTTCTCTGATGGTCAACACCCTAATTGTGTTAAATTAAAATAATTAAATATAAGTAGGGATGTCAAAATACCAGTAAAACAAAATTAAATCCTCGAGTCGTTTTATATATACTATGTTATTCTTATGACCAATTATGAAACTATATTGGAATGTAATAAGAATGATGAAATAATTTGTCATTCGAATGTAATTTATTAAATGAGACATCTGATTCCCCTTAAAGCTCTTCTAACTCTTTTGAAATGACAAAAAAACGTAAAAAAGCTATGGTTATTGATATATTAAACATTTTATGCATATTCGGGACTTGAATAATAAACAATATGAAGATTTTTATAATTCGGATTATTATTTATTCTTTTGTCAACCGTTTTTAGGGACTAACGTTAAAATTTTCACTGCATCCGGATTCCTTGGAAACAATGTATCCTAATTTATGTTACTTTTCTGGCCATTTAACCAATTTTACGATGTCTTCATTTTGAATATCATTGCTGTAGCTTAATATTTCTTTCTCTCTGGGAACAGTATCCAAGCTGACTCTCATTGATGTCATTGCAGAAAATAATTGGATCAGTTAAAGGGATTTGAAATTGGACACGTTTGGGCGATTTATAATTTTGATGACACGTTTAATTGAAATGGATACGTTTTGGTGAGGTGGAAACGTGTGGGGATGGACATGTTTGAAAGTTTTACATATTGACTATGGAATAACCGACATTCTTATCATTGCTTATACAGTGACAAACAAAACTATAAGTTTTAACGGATCGGAATAGTTACGTTTGATACATTTAATAATTTGTAGTTCCGTACAGTTGTCCTCTTATCTTTGTGTGACACACCTTTTTCATAAGTAGAACTATTAGGTGCATCATGTATTTACTGTTGACAACATTTACTTTTTAAAAATAAAACATCAAATCTAATCTTCAAGGTAGCTCATATCCCTGTCACAGTATTGGAGGATATTGCACCTCGCGAAGATGTAGAATAGGATACTATTGCAATCCAGAGGACGATATAACTAGTCATCCAGATTGTTCGTATACACAACATTGCTGTCAACCTTGTAAGTATTTATTTGTTCTGAACGTTAGTCTTAGTATACTACATATAAGTCGCATATTTAACCGTTTACTGATTGTCAAACGAAAATTGCATTCGTGCATTAGTAAATCAAGTTTGTTCAGCATATATTTGTAACGAATTGATAAAGTAGTTTACACTGATGATTGAACTAATATGTGCGTACAAAAAACTTAGTAGAATTGCTAGTTGGCTTATACTTACAAATATGCAATAATACATTTAGAACTGTGTAAAAAAGGAAAGATCTTCGTCCACATGTATGAAGCTTATACAAAAATTACAATAAGTTCATTATTTTGAGATTTAAAAACTTGACTCGATCATCAATATAACATTGGAATCAAGTATAAGGAAAGCAAAACACTGATCTTTTTCCATGTATCCTACGAACGCTGATTCACCAATATGTACAATCAGGGTCAAATTTAAACAATGGATATTATTTCTGACATCACAATCCGTTAATCCTTCATCTTTCATAATTATTTCAGTGTGCAGTTTCCCTGCGCAGTTTTTACAAGTGAAACTTGAGGCATTGCAGGATCTTGATTTAGAAGAATCCCTAAAAAAAACCTCTGACATGTGACTTATGGTCCTAAGTTCAGAGAACCCCAACACATCAATTGAAATCATAACTTCAAAACAAATATGGATTCCATTAAGGCTAAACATGGGCTAAACGAGAAGAAGTTGAACTGGACATTTTGTCAGAATGGAATTTATAAGTTGAAAAACTGTATGAATGATCGACCAAAGTCCGTGTTAAATACAAAGAAGCTGTGAAAAGACTATCATCTCTTCATGATACACATGTTGTTGTTCCTGCGGACAGAGCTCCAAGTAATAATATTGTCTTTGTATATATAGCGTACTACTACATACGAGTGTCTTGCAAAAGAATAAAGAATAAATGACCACTCAAGTAATCCCACATACCAACATATGTCATTTGACAAGGATGAGATTTTGGCGAATCATACGTCCTTCATGGCTTCAATGAATATTACATTGAAAAGCAAATCTGAGGACTTACTATTGTTTGTATCGGAATACACAAAATTCTGTATAAACAACGGTACATTGCTGGCTCATCTGCATATTCTATAAAGGAATTGTCCAGTAGATTGACAAAAACTCTGTCCGCAGTGAAAAGGGGTCATCAGAAATACTGTGAAACTGTTTACTCGCGTTTTAGTATTAACGATATGTGGATTCTAAAAAAAATCTTGTGAACTTCGAAATAATTTTAAATCCATCTCGATTTAATCTTGAAAATAATTCAGTCAAAACTTTTTTTTTCAACCCTGTATACCACAATTCCACAAGTGACATTGAAAAATCGTCTCAAAGAAATAATCCACAATACTTTTCAATATAAAAATGGTAGCATACGCTATAAATTGATTAATTTGGGATACCATACGGCATACTTTGTTAATAGTGAACAAAAAGGTAAAACCTGCTACACAGAGGAACAAGTGATCAGTATGCTGGAGTTTCTTATTGACAACATATTTGTTGAATTTGGAGGTAAACTTTTTCAACAAATTGTCGTAATTCCTATGTGAACGAACTGGGCGCAACTCCTTGTCGACCTCTTCTTATTTTCATATAAGTCGAAATTCCTTCAGACATTTGTCAAAATCAAGAAGATCAAAGAAGCCAGATCATTTAATTTCACATTAAGATATATTGATGATTTTCTTCAATCAACAATCCAAACTTTTCTGATTCGGTTCCATTAATATCTCCTTCAGAACTAGAAATTTAAGAAACAAGAGACACGGCTTCTTCCGCCTCATTTTAAGACTTTTACCTCGAATTTGACATAAGCAGTCATCTCAGTACCATTATCTATTACAAACGAGATTATTTCAATTTTGAAATTTTCAATTTCCCCCACCTAGTAGCAATAAACCAACTTCACCTGCATATGGGATATGTATCATATGGGATATACATATCCCAACTAATTCGGTTATCAAGAGCTTGTAGCTGCTACCCAGACTATTTAAAAATGTCACCAGTATCTGAGCAGAAAATTAATGAAACCAGGGTTATGTCAAAGAACTTCTCGTCCTTTTTCTTAAAATGTTCATCGGACGATACCAAGACCTTGTTGCTAAATATTTCATTGAAACTTCACAATTAATACCAAATCAGGAATATGATAGTTGTTTCCATTAGTTTGATGTGTTTGAGCTTTTGATTTTGCCATTTGATAAGGGACATGCATTTATGAATTTTCCTTTGAGTTCAGGATTTTTTGTTATTTTACTTCTTAAGGGGCAGATGCTTCTAGGAAAATGAGTCCACTTTCGGTTTTTTCTTACCTTTGTGATAATCACTGTTGTGCCAAATTAATTAGAAATATAATAAGCATTCAAATAATGCTATACACACTACCCTACTTAAAATAGGACATGACTTACGTACGTGATTGTTTCATCAAATCATATTCAGGTGAAAGTTACAAGTATATAAAAATACACATCTATAAGAAGAAACGCGGAACAAAGAAAAGCGAAATTTGATTAAATAATCAGCAGAACAAAACACGGTAAACTTATTTATTTATGTACATAGAAATACGTGAGAGAGAATATTAAGTCTACAATGTATGATTCATACGTTTTATTCATATTCGTTGCTTTTTCAGATAATGGCAGATACTATGGTGGGCGCTAAACCTTCTCCCAAAACAGCTAACTGATATTGAGAAGTAAATGAAAATAAAATAAAATGTCAGATCAAACTCATAAGGCCTTCAAATACCTTTTCATCACCTTCCAATCATTTTACAATATGTTTCATAAAATATCATTTATATGTTCCTTTATTATAAATCTACTGTACTGGCATAATTTGCAGAGGTTTTTACATTGTTGTTTTCATTTAGTTGACCTTGCTTCTATATTTTACTAATTCTTACTTTATCGGGAAAAACGTATACTATATATTGTATGTTATATCAACTACAAAAACTTTTTGTGGCGTCTTTGTCAAATTAACTTTCAACTACAAATATTTTTTTTATTGTCGTTTTGTCAAATCTACTATCAACTTTTACAACTTTAATTTGATGTTGGCGACTTTTTTAGATTTATTTGTATGTTTGTCTGAATTTTTTAGTCGGAGTTCGATATTTTTGTTATACTTATTAATAACAAACTATCATTAAACTATCTATATCTCATTTAATACCGATGAACTGGCTACAGAGCTGATGATACCCTCGGGGACTGGTAGTCCGCAAGCAGCAATATCGATCTAGTTGACCTTAGATGGATTTGGCTATATTAACGTCTTTTTTAATCATATAGCTCTTCACTTTTTTCGGTTCTTTATCTCAAAGATATAATGAAAACAGATTGTGCTCACAATTTTTAAAGAAATAACAACGTCAATCACAATAACTAAATAACATCAATCCCTCTGATTACTGATCAGCATATAATAAAATTCTGCAGCTACAATTCATCACAGCAGTAAGCTCATAATGTTACAAGGAAGTTAATTAATCAAAAGTTCAAAGTTGTGAAGTTGAAATCATCCCTTGGAAAATTTTACGGACGTTATCACGAGTTAGTTGGTCGTTATGGAATATCAACTTCACAGATGACGACTGATATGTTCCAATCGTCTTAATTCGTTCTCCTTTTCCCCGAATTTGACCTACCAAATTAGAATTATCACCGGATTTGTACTTACATTAGCAATGCGACGGATTCTACATATGGAACAGGATCGGCTTTCCCTTCCGGAGCACCCGAGATTTATCTCGGTTTTTTAGTGTGCTTCATGTTTCTCAGTTTGTAGTTATCTATGTTGTGTTTTGCATACTGTTTTTTGTCTTTTGGTCATTTTCTTTTTATGCCATGATTTTGTCATTTTTTTTTTTTTTTTACTTTTGAATTTGTATGTAGTTTTTTTTTTTTTTTTTTGGGGGGGGGGGGGGGGTATCTTTTGCCCCTCATATTGGACATGTTGCAATTTCAAATAATTAACGAATCCTAACCGTTTTGCTTTTATACAGTGTAGAGGACTACAGAATGGAAATTAATGAGTTTCTGTTTACAAAGAGGATTTTTAGATACCATCAATGTGAACAAAAGACGTATCCCCAACAGTACACCAAAAATACTACCCCATAATTTTGTAAAACATCTAAGCTTCGATGCGACAGTTTATACATTTCAACGTTTACGATATAAACAAAGGAATTCAAATAAGCTGTTCCTATTTTCACATTTACTTTGACGGCTCAATCTAATTATTCAAGATCTCAACTGGATTTTTTTTCATTCGGTCGATGTAAAACAAAACCAAGTCATATGTAGCAGCCATAGTTTAAAGCAAACATGTATCCATATCTACAGTCCTATACTTTAATAGGTATGGCTAAACTTTCGAGAATATTTCATACAGCAAGGTTGAATTTCCTTTATAACATATTTTTAAACATAAAAAATGAAAACAACACATTACAAATTGCTATCGTCCCAAGCGTTTTTCTGGATTTACCTTCATCAGTAACACTAAAAGCCAAATATTTGGAAGCAAAAATTGTATACCAGCATCACCAATTGAAGACCTACATGACCAAAAACATAAAAAAAAACAAAAGTACAAGTGATACAGATACTTACAATTTATTGTAAATATTTCCTCAAGCGAGTTGACATGAACATGAACCAAAATCTTTTAACCGTTTTTTACGCATTGACCAATAAATTGACAGCCTTTCAAAGGAATGAAGCAGGCTGAGTAATACTCAATTTTGACAAATATGGAATATTTCCACGAACAAGTATGTATTGAATATCTGATAAATGCATTACTTTTCATAAAAACGTTATTTTGCAAATTTACCTTTTCCTAAAATTCCTACACTAAATATTATATTTTGATAATGTTGACTTTTTTCTTTTTTTTTTGAGGAAAGTTGACATATTTCGGAAAAATAATTTTCATTTAATGAGAAGATGCAATGGTTGACAGAGTAAGAAGTTACCTGGCGTATTGTCACATTATTCAAATACAGTACTTTCAGGTAGAGATTAATAAAACGTATGGAATGAACAAAAGCCAAGACATTGAAACTAAATATAGGACTTAACGATTTCCAATTCAAAGGTTACATCAATTGATACTACTAGGTTAAAATCTGCTCTAAATGTGGCAATAAGTTGTTTTATGCTAGTTCAAAATAAAAAGTAATTCTGTCGAATATGCTTTATCACTTGTCATCGATAATAATATAAGTGTCTTGCTAGCTTAAGTCCTTGTTTTCCTCATACCCTCCTCTGTATGCCAAAAATACAAAACAAAAAAACACACACAGATATGCATTAATCAAGAAAGCTATAAAATGTATCTTTGTATCAGCTCCACCAAAACAAATAATCTGAAAGAAACAACCAAATTCAGCTAAGCTGATCTTTTTCAGACGGAGTAACAAACTATACGAATTATAAAATTCCACCTAATTTCAATCATACTTTCGGATAAATGAAACTTTAACTGCAAGATATAAATATGCCTATAATCAGAGAATCTCAAAAACAGGTCAAACTTATAATTTACTTTTGTTTTTATTTTTTACACTGAAATACAAAGAGAAACACAATTTTATAGCAAAAAAATATTAAAACATCAAACGTCGTTAACTACTGAATAAACCATACTAGAAGAACATTGTAGTCAATACCACCATCACGGATGTTTGCTACTTTGTTTCAAAATAATAAGCATTTTAAAATAGAAAAGAGAATGGAGACGGTAAAGTTGTCAAAGAGAAAACATCTCGGCCAACGAACAGAAAACAGACCAAGGCCACCAATGGGTCTTCAACGCAGCAGCAAAAATACCCCACACACGGCGGCTGGCTTCAGTTGTACCTTCAACAATAATGTATACTAGTTTCAGCAAAATCGACGCCCCACTAAACTCCAAAACATAAAAACCAACCACAATTTAAAAAGACACACAAAATTAACAAAGGCTAGAGGTTCCTGACTTGGGACAGACGAAAAAGATATCGTTGGTTAAAACATGCTTCTCAATCCTCCCCCTATATCTCTAGCCAGTGTTGAATAACTAAACACACAGCGAAACGCACAGTAAAACTTAGTTTAAAAGAAGTTCAAGTCCGATTGTATGAAAGGTAATAGAAGAAACTACACAAAATGACAATGATCAACAAAAATTAACAAAGGACTGCTAGCAGTTACTGATATGCTAGTTCCAGTCCTCAATTAAACTGATCAAAAGATTATTTCTTCTTTGTCGTGTCAAAATCAACCACAATCTCTCTCGTTAGTGATGAAGTATCATGCCATTTATTATGATTTGACAACAGTTTTTTTCAAAGGTTTGGGGTTAATAACGACATACAAGACTATTATAAATTGATAAGATATAAATATCTGAACTTAAATAGCAGACAAATGATCAACATAAATTAACAAAGGACTGCTAGCAGTTACTGACATGCTAGTTCCAGACCTTAATTAAACTGATCGAAAGATTATTCCTTCATAATGTTAAAATCAACCACAATCCCTCTCGTTAGTGGTGAAGTATCATGTCATCATGAATCATACGAGAAGAACATGATCCTTATCATCATGATCATTTCAACAACTGGTTTTTGAATAAATTTGTTTATTTCCATTGCAAAGACTCTATGAATGAATCGATATTTTTTCCAAACAATGCCATCTAAATTCTTTATTGGCTACTCTATATCGTCAAATCCAAATCTAATCGTTTGGGCTTGTATTATATTTTCCTTCGGGTTTATATGATCCGTTCATCCTATTTCGACTCTTTAAAATTCAAAGTAATGATCAAGGCCAATATATCTTGAAATCAAAATAGAATACAAACGGTATTGTATATTCAATAAGAACCAAAAATAATGCAAAATCCGGACAAGTAAACGTTTAAGATACATTCTTGAATTTAAAAAAAAAAGTTTCTTTAAACTTATGTTCAACAGAATATTTGTCGGTACTAGAATAATATAAGGTACATTCCCGCTACTTCTTGTTTTAAAGAACTTTTATAAGATTTAAATAGACGTCCTCTTGCCATATGATACTGACCTTTAAAGCAAATGATGGATTTTCTATAATTAGAACATCAAATACATTTACAGTTAAATTTCATTTTGTCTCTGATTCTGTAAAATGCACTTTCATTTTTGTCACTGTATAAGTAATTTTGATTACATTCATCAGTCAAAATAAGAAGTGAAAAATAGATTGAATACTAAAATTCCCCTCCCTAAGGTGTTTGTTTTGTGCCTAATGAACCATGTCATGCGCATATACATAGATTTCATGTGACGTCAGCACCCTGAGTTCAAAAGGTCGGCCGCTGTCTTGTAGGGCACGCTATAAATTGTTTACCTTAGTATCGAGATAGAGACATTTAAATCGCCTTAAGCTTAGAATAAATAAAACAATGGTTAATACCTGTGTTATTTATAACAGTCGCAACAGATCAAATCGAGGTGAAGTCAAAAGATCGTAGCATGCTGTCCAGAAAATTGTTTTAAGCCAAGGAGAAATGACCAAAGAACTGTCAACAAAACGGAGAGAATTGTGGATATGCAGGATTGGAAGGAAAGAATGGATGCCGACAGCATATTCCAAAGTTTGCTCGGACCACATTGCAACTGGTAAGTTTTGTTTTTCCCTCTTACACGATCACTGTCCCTTTCATAGTACAATTAGCTAATACGAAAACACA